GTAGATCCTTTTTTTTAATTATAATTCCTCGAGCTGATAAAAAGATACCAGTAAAAAAAGTGAAATTCCACAAGATAGAGAAAATGTTCTTAACATTTTATACGCTAAAAAAACAATATTGCATAGGACACCGCGATTTTTTGACATTTTATGACATTTTGCGAAAATCTAACAACTGATAGAATCACCGGCAATCATATAAATATGAAAAAATTAATTAACGCTGTCAACAATTAAAACTCCTTAAAAAAAGAATAGAGTTAAAACTGTAGAAAAATATAATTAATTATGCTTATATAAATTTGTCTATAATAGTTTTTAATGTGCATCGGTGCGCACTAGTGCATCCAATTGATGAATTCATAAATTAAAAAATTAATTGATTAATATAATTATAAAAAAAATTAATAATAAAAAGTTATAAATATAAATTAAAAGCATGATTTGATAATGTTTAAAATGCTTAATACTTTTCAAGAATAAGAAAAAAGTGAAAGCAATTTATTGTAAACATCTTCTACAGGTTATATTTAAAAATCAGGAAAAAAATTATTAAAAGAATTAATTTAAAAAAATTTATTTCATTTTATATGCGCATATACATAAAAATACTTCAATTATAATTTATTATCGCTGTAGAATATATTAGAATGACAAAACATCATATGCGCAGCTAATAAAATATTAATAAATCCATAATATTTTCCCGCATTTTTGATCCACCAATGTGTTTAGCACGGACATGAACCAACCGATCGTTTTACCATGGCATCAAAAAGTGGTTCTGGCCATGTAGTTTCGCCGGCTTTAAAATGGATCCAGTTAGCGCCACTGTATCAGCTAGGAAAACGGTCTCATGAAAAACGGCGGCGTGGCCCCTCTCAAGCTTCTAATGTCGAATTTTGTCCATGTTTTTCTCATTTAACATTGTTTTATTTAGTTTTGCCAAGTTTAATCACTATTATCCGCAACTACAGTAAATATAAACATTAGCATAAGTTCATGCTCGGTTAAAGAAATTTTTGGAACAATTTATTTATCATTTTAGGTTATGGGTAGACATTGCTGCGTTTTAGGATGTTCTACAGGAGTGAATCTACCTTCTCATATGTTTCCCAAAGATGTAACCATGATGAATAAATGGAAGAAGGCTATTTATTCGGACAACATTCGGGACTTAACCGATGAGCAATTGAGAAAATGTGTTGTATGTTATAGACATTTTGCGGATAGTGATTATGAAGCGACATACAGATTACGAAGATTAAAACCTGGTGTTATACCATCGTTATATCTGCCAAATAATGGCAACAATAACAGTGAGGTGGTAGATAATAGTAATAATAATACTGAGGAAAATGCGACTATGAAAGAACCTGAAACAATGGATACAAATACAACTGATCATATGGAAGAAATTGAAATAATAGAGATAATAGAAGAGGAAGAATCTGCAGTAGAAGTATCGCAAAACACAATTAGTGCAATGAATGAGGATTCTCCGAAGTCTCCCTTAGAAGAAAATACAACAAATAATTTATTAGACCTCCATGCTGTATTGCATGGAAAGCACTTTCACAAGTTTACGCCAAAAATGTGGAAGTTATATAAATTATCATGTATATTAAGAAAAAAACAAGAAATTGTTGTAAAAAGGCAGTTATCATTCCGTGAACGTTTAAGGCAAGCCAAGCAATATAGCAAGACCCCTGCAATAGAAAAGCTGCTATCTTCATTAAAACCTGTCGAACAAACATTTCTGGAAATGCAAATAAAAACAACAAAATATGCACCCAAGGTATGTAAGTGAAAGATTACACCAAATACCATTACACAATATAATGAAAACTTTTGACAAACTAATGTAATTTTATTCATAGGATGAATATTTCACATTACATGAGAAGATTGCAGCTTTATCTATCATGAAACAATCCAGTAAAAGTTATCAATATCTGTCACAAGTTTTCAATTTGCCCAGCATGCGCACATTACAATCTATACTTCAAAAGATTAACATTCATCCAGGTCCAAGCCACTTTATGAATCAACATCTAAAGAAGCAAGTAAGATTAATGAAAGAGAGAGATAAAGTGTGTTTTTTAATGTGGGATGAAATATTATTGCAACTTCACTTGGATTATGACGCAACAAAGAAACATATTCTTGGTTTTGAAGACTTTGGAAAGAAGAGAAACGCACGGTTTGCCGATCACGCGTTAGTTTTTATGGTGCGTGGCATACAAAGCGGATGGAAACTTCCACTAGCGTATTATTTTTACGACGGTATCATAAAAACTGATCAATTCATAGAATGGATCAAAGATATTGCTAAAGTTATAATCGACAGTGGATTATATCTAGTAGCTTTTATATGCAATGATGAAAAAAGGAATATTACGGCTATAAATAAACTAAAATTAGATTCGGCGAGATTAAAGTCAAAAAAAGGACAATTATATTGTAAGTGCATTTTTCGTCAAATGATTATCGTTTGTAGATTATATAATTGTTTACATTATAAGCCTTTATTCAAAATATAACAATCTATTAAATATTTTGTATGTTTTTAGATGGTTACATAACGATAAATAACCAAGATATAATCCCATTGTACGATCCACCACATCTTATTAAAAGCATACGTAACAATTTATTAAATAATGATCTTGAATTTGATTATGTGGAAGGAGAAGAACGAAAATGTGCTTCATGGGAGATTATTGAACAAGCTTATCATATGGACTTGACTCATAGTGTATATCGATTAATGCCGAAAATTACGGCGGAGCATATAATAAAAAGCAAAATAAAAAAAAAAAAAGTTAAAAATGCTATACAGATTTTGAGCATGACAATGGGCGCATTCATACACCATCATACTAAATTAGAAGGTATATATTTATATAATTTTAACATAAAGGGGCTGTTTTGAGAAAAAAGAAACATTTATATTCATTAAATGCACACACACACACACACACAAATATATACATTGTTAATAATTGTAATATTCTCATTTTTTGTGCATAGGATGCGTGAATACAATCAACGGACCATTAAAAATGCCCGGGAAAAAAGGACGCGATACCGCAGAGATAATACTCTTTTTTGATCGATTATTCGATTCTGTAAACGGGCATACGTTGAAACCGGAGAAACCGTTAAGAGTCGCTGTTTCGCACAACAGTCCACATTTTCCATTTTGGGAGAAAGCAATAAAGAAACTACGTAGAATGCGGTTTGTCAACACAATAGACAAGAACCAATTAAAAGATTCGACTATTTTGAAAAATTGGATCTCTACTATAAAAGGATTCTGCAAATTATGGATGATTCTGAAAAACACATACGAATTTAAATATTTGAAACCTCGAATTTTAAACCAGGATACTCTTCGAAATTTTTTGAAGCAGATTAGATCCTTCGATATAAGAAATGCCAATCCCACGTGCGCGGAATTTGAGAATTCTTTTAAAACATTGCTGATTAACAACTTGGCGTTACCTCGTACCATGGAAAATAACGAGAATAAAGTAGACGGATCGTTATTGTTTACGTTAAAAGAATTTGTCTGTAGACTAGAAAATAGATGCAATGACGGCTGGCCAAAAGATGCGCACATGCTAGACTTGGAGACAGAAACAACTTCCTTCTTGGAGGAAACATGTAATTACCATAACATTTGCAACGCTATCGCAGCGAAAATCCTAAGTAATTCGCGCATCAAGGGATGCGACACATGTAAGAATCTCCTCACAGACACTGCGAAATCCGAATTAGTTTGCAGTAATGATTTGGTGGAGACATTTAAAGACGCCGATAATATACTGACGCGAAGAATGAGCAATGTTTGTTACTCGCATCATACTGCATTAATGTTGGAAACTGAATTGTACATGCAAATGGATTTACGTTGGTTAAATTGTCAGCAACACGACATTCTGTTAAAAGAATTCTTAATATCGTACATAGCTGTATTTTATATTTATAAATGGTGTAACGGTATAAATGACATTTTTATCGAGAAAGAACAGAATAATACATCGTGAACCGTACATAGCGAAACGTGTAACACGTGCCTGATGTAAAATATAAATCAACAATGCGGACTTTTTTAATATAGCAATAAAATATTTATTTTCTATTTGCTGTTTTTTTAATTTTGTTTTTTAAAGAAAATAATCTTATAGAGACATTCTTATTTAAGGCAAATTTGAATTTGAGAAAATTGCCATAATTTTCAATTATCAAATTATCATTATTATTATTATCATGGGAATTGCTTGTTAAATTTCAGATCAATGTCCAAGAACCAATCAGCCATTCCAATGTCAGAAATGCCTTTATGCTTGAAGATAATTAAACTTTCAACGTTTGAATCGAATGCATCGCGTCTAGATATTCATACATCATAACATCAAATTTATTATATCATGACCTCGTCTGTAAGAAAAATTGGCAATGAAATTTATCATTAAACAGCAGATGAAAAAAATTATTAGATTGAATATATTAGATTATTAGATATTTATTTAATATATTAGATTATTATATATTAGATTGAATTATTCTTATATTTAATCATATTTTTAATCATTAGTCAAACAGCTGTCAAACTAATTATTAAAAAATTGTCAAACCAATAATGTCATATGATACATGAATATCTAGAGAGAGATGCAACGTTTTCGAAAGTAGCCATCTTCAATCAGGAAAGGATTTGGTGAATGAAGTTACGTTCCATTTGGCAATCGCAAGACTCGCGAGCATCATCTTCGTCTTTGTTTAATTTTTGGTGAGCGACAAGAATGAAATAATTTCATGAACGTTGCGATCGCCAAGTGGAACTAAGGTTAGATTAGTTTAAGGAAGGACAAGTTATCAACCCCTCGTTACCCATGATGCCATGCAAAGAATCAATTGTGTGCGCAGTCGCTATTGAAAAGAGATGCAAAAAGGTAGATTGTTATTGGCTCTCGCGGCCTCTCGCAATGCATCACGGATTGCGAGGGCCAATACTAGACTGCATTGATAACTTAACCTTCCTTTATATAACCTTAACCTTAACTTAAATAATTCTATCTGAGCGCCGTCTGTAGATTACTTCAGTCGCGAATATGTAGAATGAAAACAAAAGTGTCAAACCATTTTCAAATATTTATGTATATATATCTGTCAGAGAAATCGAAATAATACAATTTGAACATAAAATGGCTGAGAATGAATTTGTATCCGATAGTGACGAATGTCTTGTTACAGAAGCTATCAATTTAGATATCGAGGAGGTACTTGTGTGTGTATATTTTACACAACAACAATTATCTATGCAATAAATTTGATACATTATGTAAAATACTTTACACTGTACAACAGTTGTAATCTTAATCGGATGAATTAAGCTATTTTTGCCATTTTCATATTATTATGGCCAATATCTATCGTAATTGCATCGTTCTTTTATTATCATAACGTAAATATAATTTACTCCGATATTATTCTAGCTCCTGATAATAATATTTGTATCGGTTTTTTAGTTAGATAATATGGAATATGCTATACCGATCGTGGAAGAATTACCCACCTTAGAAAGTATACTGATGGAACCTGATTATGAGTCGCCATCAGAAACAGATGATGATGTTGGTATACCATTAGGAGAGAAACTTGGTAGTAGTGAGACAACGAGCATTGGCAGTCATTTATCATTAAATTCATTAAATAAATCTATTAAAACATCTCAGAAAGCATTCTCAGGTGTCATATTAAGACATGTCATACTCAAAGGAATAACGTCGCAAATTGTATCAGCCAGTGTAAGTGATTATTCCTTTTTTATTATGCAAAAAATATTACCAGTTTCGTATTCTTTTAAATAAAAAATGTTTGAATTATTGTTACTTGCTTTTGTTATATGCCATAATTAAATATTTTGCATGAGACAATCATCATTCTTCAATATGATTTATTCAGGAGAGAGTCAACGCTGGTTTAGCTAGTGCAGTTGCAGCCGGAGGAAACATGTTGGTGATTGGTACTAGCCACGGTCTAATATTGGGCTTTGACTCTTCACAAACATTACGATGGTGCGATCAAGAAGCGAGACATCAAGGTTCCGTTTCTGCTCTTTGTTTCAATTACGATGGCAGCAGAGTGCTGGCTGGTTTTGTCAGAGGACATATTTTGATGTTAGATAGTAGTAATGGAAAAGTTTTAAGAATTCTCACCGATGTACATCCACTTGACACCGCTGTGTTGCATGTTAAGGTATATTTTGTAACATTAGTGTATTCATATATATTGTTTATTACATTTTGAATTTATCTGTCTAATCGACAGTTTTAAAACACCCGCTTTAGTTTACAGATTCACCAAAAATAGCTCTATGTAGCGATAGCGGTGGCTCAGTGTTTGAATTGAATTTTACTAGAGTCATGGGTGTACGAGGTTGCGACAGTAGATGTTTGTTTAGCGGCTCTAAGGGAGAAGTATGCACTCTGGAGCCCTTGTTATTGAATCATCTGCCGTCGCATCCATTGAAAAATTACACATTAGTAGCAATGGCAACTTTATCAAAGGTTATCATTTGCAACAGATTTGATGGTATATATCAATTATAAATATGTGTATATATTCATCTTATTTTGTAGGTAATTGTAGTCTGCATAAGACCGCGAATGCGCGTTGTATTGAGTCATTCATTAACTGGTGCTCCAACAGCACCGCCGCAATTATCTTGGCAATTAGTTGTCATACAGACAGCTGATGGATCTCGTGTGATCGACCCAGTATTAGCACTTGCAAGAGACAATGTGGTGCATTTTTACCAAGTATATTGCTATATTATTTAACAATAATGTTATTTGATTGTTTTTATTAGGAATTACCAAATTAAAAAATATTATTTATCGATAAGGTATATACCGAAATTGGTTCGCGAGTAAAATTATCACCTCTTCGGAGAATGACGCTACCATATATGATAACTAATTTGAGGTGGTTAAATCCGAGATCTCTCATAGTACTGGACAATCAAGAAAAATTGCATTTGTTGGATGTAAGAGCACAGGATAATTTGGAAACATTGGATATGAGTCGCGTTGGTATATCTTATGCCTCTAGTCATTTTAAAGGATTATCCACCGGCGGAAATGTTTCCAAGGTATATATAAATATATAGCTTTTTGCTGCTTTAAGTGTCAGATGCATAAAATGTATTTCTTTTTACAGGCAATGGCATTAGCTGGCGAACGGGCGTGTTATAATACCGTTATAGTCTTTGGTACACAGTTACTGTTATTAGGTACAAAGAGTTTACACGTGATTTGTATAAGGACATGGACAGAAAGATTGCAACACTTGGTTATGCAGGTCAGTTTAAAGTTATAGAAAATGTTCTATCTTGAATTTTGAATGAATTATTTTGTTGAATATATTCTAGAAACGTTTCTCCGAAGCTTTAGCGTTGGGTCTCTCTTTTTATAAAGACAAAGGGAAGGCGGTTATCGGCCTTCGTGGTTCTAAGCAACGTCGCAGGCAAATAGCACGTGACAAGGTTTGCGAAGTATTGATTCAGTATATGGACGAATTGAATCAGTGTATGATGAACGAAAACGTGGACTATGATATGATAGTACTCACTTGCGTCGATTATTGTATTCAATTGGAGAATTTAGATTTGCTGTTTGGAAAGTTATGGGACATAGTCTTTGAATCAGAAGGACTAAAAACGAGTTACTTGCACGCTCTCGAGGTTCCTTTATTAGATGGAAGTCTTCAATCGAAATTGCCGCCATTGATCGTCCAACAATTAATGACTCTTTACGATCAAGAAAATAAAGTAGATTCGCTGGAGGCAATAATAATTTTACTCAACGTGGATTGCTTAGATATTCATCAAGTAAGTTCAACATTTATTAGCATATTTATTGTGAGAAATCGAAACATTTAAAAAAAAAAAACGGTATTTATAACATGTAAAAAACTTTCTTATATGATTCAAAAACGTTTACATCTCCGTCTGTGTAGGTAACGACAATCTGTCGTCGGCGAGGACTTTGGGAAGCATTAATCTATCTTCAGACAACAGCGCTGGGGGATTTTACAGCGCCCATTCATCAATTGGTACCGGTACTTCAAAATTTATTGCACGATCCGATAGCAGCTCTTTCCCGAGACTGCATAAAACTCGGCAACGCCATTCTGGTTTATACCAGTTGTTGCCTCGCTGGCCGTGGATTTCCCAAGGATGAGCTTCCCGAAGGCGTACCGCAGAGGGCGAAAGCGGACATATTGAGGGCCCTGCTCTCCCAACATTCCAGTCTGGCGAATGATACGGAGAGGCAATATCCATACTTGAGAACGTTACTGCAATTCGACGCGAAGGGCTTTCTCGATGTTATAGCCATCGCCTTTCAGGAGCCAGAATTCACCTCCGAAATGGGCCTTCGACATCGACAAAGACTCATAGACATCTTATTGAGCATTGTTATGCCAACTACACCGCTTACTCCAAAGAATATCGATTATATCACGACGGAGCAACAATTTATGGTTCTTATATTTGTGGCAAATGAAGTGTCGGAAAGTACTGTTATATTAGAGTCTAGTATGTTGAAGAAAATGATAGATGTATTGTGCATCGATTCGCACGTGGAATTGTCGAAAGACTTTAAGATTGAGAGAGAGAATGCCGTGTTGGGATTACTGCATTCTAAAAAGTTGTGCAACATTTCTGACAACGCTTTACTAAATTTAGCAAATAGAGCGAGTTTGTAAGTATTTATCGTCATGTTTAATGCGATGATCACAATGATCTATAATTTTCCTAATGTTCGATTATTTACATTGTCACACGACGTCCTTTGTTGCAGCATAAGAGTTGCAGAGTTATTGTACAGTGCGCGAGAGGATTGGATAGCAGTATGCAAATGTATGATCTTGGATTCGTCTAGGCATCACGATATATGGCCCTGGCTCGAGAGTTTGCCGACCGTTTCATTGGAACAAGTTGTATCGACTCACGCTTCGAACCTCGTGACGATTAATGCCGGTCAATTCGCCACGATCATCGCGATGCGGATGCAGAACAAAATCAATGTGATATTGCAAAATCTTGACAACAATTTAAGCTTGGAGTATAAGCTG